CCCACTGCCCGTTCAGCCAATAGTATTTCGACACCCGGGTTGCCAGTTGATGTATCGTAGCCATGGAAACGAGCAAACAAACCGGGTCAGAGATCGCAGATTCCACACGACCTAAAAAGCCTCGATATCTAAAAATCTCTATGAACGAGAGCATATTAAAACACGGATAAATCAGAAAAAGTGTGTAAGTGTTATATCGTAAATATCATAAACATAACTATGTGTTCAGTGGTGTGTAAAGAGCTTACATAATGAAGCATTATGTGTTTATCAGCTTATAATGAGGCGTTTCTCTCTACACACACCGCGGGTCCGCTTACACACACATGTTTCTACGGTGGCCCTGAGCGGACAAACGCGTTTCGTCACTGTGTTGTTCTTCATGATCAGAAGCTGCTAAAGTCAGCGAGTAAAACACCGACACAACGATGAACAAGTCACAATAATACTCGCCGTTTACTGAATAATAAAGTAAACAACTTATTAATTTATCTTTGTTTAACTGGCTACTCTCTACTGTCTCAGACGACGACATCACTTCCTGTTGGCCACCGTAACTTCTGTTGGGTGCAGTTCACACACTCACCACTAGATGCCGCTACACACACACACTGCAGCTTTAAGCACGGGGAAGTGTTGTTTCATGCGGTCTCCTGTACAGGGCTCCTGGACGAGGTGAAGCGGCCCAAACACGTGCCTCTGGTTCTGCTGGGGAACAAGGCGGACCTGGACCTGGGTCGTCAGGTGGCCACGGAGGAGGGCGAGCGGCTGGCGGCCGACATGGCGTGTGCGTTCTACGAGTGTTCTGCGTGTGCGGACCGGGTCGGGTCGGGGGGAGGCGTGGCCGAGGCGTTTCACGAGCTCCTGCGAGAGATCCGGCGCCGGCGGGCGGTTCAGGGCAAGACCCGCAGACGCAGCTCCACCACACACGTCAAGCAGGCCATCAACAAGATGCTCACCAAGATCAGCAGCTGAACACACACACACACACACCTGAACACACTCACACACACACACACACACACACACACACACACACACACCTGAACACACTCACACACACACACCTGAACACACTCACACACGTCAAGCAGGCCATCAACAAGATGCTCACCAAGATCAGCAGCTGAACACACACACACACACACCTGAACACACTCACACACCTGAACACACACACACACACACACACACACCTGAACACACTCACACACACTCACACACACCTGAACACACTCACACACGTCAAGCAGGCCATCAACAAGATGCTCACCAAGATCAGCAGCTGAACACACACACACACACACACACACACACACACACACACACCTGAACACACACCTGAACACACTCACACACCTGAACACACTCACACACACTCACACACACACACCTGAACACACTCACACACACTCACACACACCTGAACACACTCACACACACCTGAACACACTCACACACACACACACACACACACACACACACCTGAACACACTCACACACACACACACACCTGAACACACTCACACACACTCACACACACCTGAACACACTCACACACACACACCTGAACACACTCACACACACTCACACACACACACACACCTGAACACACTCACACACACCTGAACACACACACACACACTCACACACACACACCTGAACACACTCACACACCTGAACACACTCACACACCTGAACACACTCACACACACACACACACACACACACCTGAACACACTCACACACCTGAACACACTCACACACACTCACACACACACACCTGAACACACTCACACACACACACACCTGAACACACTCACACACCTGAACACACTCACACACACTCACACACACACACACACACACACACACACACACACACACACACACCTGAACACACTCACACACCTGAACACACTCACACACACACACACACACACACTCACACACACACACCTGAACACACTCACACACACACACACACACACACACACACACACACACACACACACACACACACACACCTGAACACACTCACACACCTGAACACACTCACACACACTCACACACACCTGAACACACTCACACACACACACACACACACACCTGAACACACTCACACACGTCAAGCAGGCCATCAACAAGATGCTCACCAAGATCAGCAGCTGAACACACACACACACACTCACACACACACACACACCTGAACACACACACACCTGAACACACTCACACTCACACACACACACACACGTCAAGCAGGCCATCAACAAGATGTTCACCAAGATCAGCAGCTGAACACACACACACACACTCACACACACACACACACCTGAACACACACACACCTGAACACACTCACACTCACTCACTCACCTGAACACACACACTGCAGCACACAGAGACCTGAGCTAACGGCGGAATCAGAAGATGGAAAAATGGTCATAAAAAATAGAAATTATGACAATAGATCTTCAGTATGAGATCAAAAAGTCATAATTGAGATTCAAAGTCAAAATATGACTTGATTGATTATGATTTACGAAAGTGCACTGCAAAAACTGCTTTTCTTAATTAGTGTTTGTGTCTCGTTTCCAGTCAAACTCTTAAATTAAGAAGCATTTACTAGAGAAGTGAAACGATGTAAGAAATGATTAAAAATCGAAAGTAATTAAAACAAGTTACAGTTTCAGCTCAGCTCATAACTATAAGATGAAAAGTCTTGGTTATGAGGTGAAAAAAAAAAGAAATTATGAGAATAAAGTATGAGATCAAAATGTCATAATGTGTCTTGATTTTGTTGTCAAAAAAAAAAGTAAATCAAGTGAGTTTTTAATTCACTTTTTAATTCGGACAATGTGTCCGAACACTTAAAATCTTAATTCAACAGGAAAACAAGAAAAATGATCTTATTCAAATGGAAACGATTATTTTTACAATTATTATTTATATAAGATATCATTTCTTATATAACTGTACTCGTCTAGTAAATGCTTGTTGATTTTGAATTGTTTGATATTTGGACAGAAATACTGAGTGAGAAAAGCATTTTTTCCAGTGTGATTTTTATATATAAATATATAAAAAAGAGATGTTGATAAATAAATATACAAATAAACGATATATAATAAATGCTGATACAAATGTTTTGTTCGCTGTGCATGCATTAATAATGTTGATTAGTGTGACCTTATTGTAAAGTGTTACCAAACTATTGAGTTTTTTCCTTTGAATTAAGATTATTTCTCGAACTCTGTTGTCATTTGTGTTTTAATCTCAAACTCACTTCATCTGATGCAGTGTGAGTGTGTGTGTGTGTGTGTGTGTGTGTGTGTGTGTGTGTGTGTGTGTGTGTGTGTGTGTGTGTGTGTGTGTGTGTGTGTGTGTGTGTTGAGTGTGTGTTGAGTGTGTGTGTGTGTGTGTGTGTGTGTGTGTTGAGATCCCAGTGCCGGAACACAAGGCAGAAGCTCTGAGGAACACTCGTGTGTGTGTGTGTGTGTGTGTGGGTGTGTGTGTGTGTGTGTGTGTGTGTGTGTGTGTGTGTGGGTGTGTGAGTGTGTGTGTGTGTGTGTGTGTGTGTTGAGATGTCAGTGCTGGAACACGAGGCAGAAGCTCTGAGGAAGACGCTCGTGTGTGTGTGTGTGTGTGTGTGTGTGTGTGTGAGTGTGTGTGTGTGTGTGTGTGTGTGTGTGTGTTGAGATGTCAGTGCTGGAACACGAGGCAGAAGCTCTGAGGAAGACGCTCGTGTGTGTGTGTGTGTGTGTGTGTGTGTGGGTGTGTGAGTGTGTGTGTGTGTGTGTGTGTGTGTGTTGAGATCCCAGTGCCGGAACACAAGGCAGAAGCTCTGAGGAAGACGCTCGTGTGTGTGTGTGTGTGTGTGTGTGGGTGTGGGTGTGTGAGTGTGTGTGTGTGTGTGTGTGTTGAGATCCCAGTGCCGGAACACAAGGCAGAAGCTCTGAGGAAGACGCTCGTGTGTGTGTGTGTGTGTGTGTGTGTGTGGGGGTGTGGGTGTGTTGAGATCCCAGTGCCGGAACACAAGGCAGAAGCTCTGAGGAACACTCGTGTGTGTGTGTGTGTGTGTGTGTGTGTGTGTGAGTGTGTGTGTGTGTGTGTGTGTGTGTGTGTTGAGATGTCAGTGCTGGAACACGAGGCAGAAGCTCTGAGGAAGACGCTCGTGTGTGTGTGTGTGTGTGTGTGTGTGTGTTGAGATGTCAGTGCTGGAACACGAGGCAGAAGCTCTGAGGAAGACGCTCGTGTGTGTGTGTGTGTGTGTGTGTGTGTGTGGGTGTGTGAGTGTGTGTGTGTGTGTGTGTGTGTGTGTGTTGAGATCCCAGTGCCGGAACACAAGGCAGAAGCTCTGAGGAAGACGCTCGTGTGTGTGTGTGTGTGTGTGTGTGTGTGTGTGTGTGTGTGTGTGTGGTGTGGGTGTGTGAGTGTGTGTGTGTGTGTGTGTGTGTGTGTTGAGATCCCAGTGCCGGAACACAAGGCAGAAGCTCTGAGGAACACTCGTGTGTGTGTGTGTGTGTGTGTGTGTGTTGAGATGTCAGTGCTGGAACACGAGGCAGAAGCTCTGAGGAACACTCGTGTGTGTGTGTGTGTGTGTGTGTGTGTGTTCCCAGTTCTCCGTGTGTTTTCTCGGGATGTTCTTACGGCTGAACTGAAGGATTGTGGGAAACACAAACACAGATATCAGTGTCTCAGATCGGTGGCTTTACGGAGATGTTCTGAGCCGTCAGATAAAGCAGTATCAGCACTCGTGATCATCAAACGCTGGCGGAGGAATGTGTGTGTGTGTGTGTGTGTGTGTGTCTGTGTGTGTGTGTGTGTGTGTGTGTGTGTGTGTGTGTCTGTGTGTGTGTGTGTGTGTGTGTGTGAGAGAGAGATGAGTAACCTCAACACACTTCTGCTCTTCTAGGATGTTTTTCTTCTGCTGACTGTAGATGATTCTGTTGATCTGAACAGGACACTCACACACACACACACACACCTGATGATGAAACTGTTTTCTTATTTACTGTAGATATTCAACAGTGCTGAGATTCCAACAGTTAATGTGAGTAAATGTCATGCATATGCAAATAAAAGGCTTTCCTGTGTGTGTGTGTGTGTGTGTGTGTGTGTGTGTGTGTGTGTGTGTGTGTGTGTGTGTGTTGTCGGGCGTGTTCATATGGAGGATAATTACACAATCGTCTGTCTGAGAATAGAAAGACCACAAACTCAACGTCATCGTCTGAAAGCGGCCACTCTCAGCTGACGCCCAGAACACACACACACACACACACACACACACACACACACTCAAACTCTCTCTCACACACACACACACACACACACACACACACTCACTCTTGCACACACACAAACAAACTCTCACTCACACACACACACACAAACAAACTCTCACACACACACACACACACACACACACACACACTCAAACTCTCTCTCACACACACACACACACACACACACACACACACACACACACACACACACACACTCACTCTTGCACACACACAAACAAACTCTCACTCACACACACACTCTCAAACTCTCATTCTCACTCTCACACAAACACAAACAAACACACACACACACACACACACACACACACAAACTCTCATTCTCACTCACACACACATACACTCAAACTCTCATTCTCACTCTCACACACACAAACTCTCTCACTCACACACACACTCACTCACTCACACACACACACACACACACACACACACTCACTCTTCATCTCTCACTAGTGTTACAGCTGACCAACACACAGCAGTTCATGAATGAATGATTCGTCACATTTATGCATTTAGCAGATGCTTTTACAGACTCATAGAAGAGGAACAGATCGTGTGTGAGTGTGTGTGTGTGTGTGAGTGAGAGTTTGAGTGTGTGTGTGTGTGTGTGTGTGTGTGTGTGTGTGTGTGTGTGTGAGTGAGAGTTTGAGTGTGTGTGTGTGACGGAGAGCAAGTGATCAGATGCAACATCTGCTGCTCCAGAAAACAGCTGGAAAACTGGGATTGAAGGAGGAACACGAACCACATCAACACACACTCTAAACCTGGTAAACACACACACACACACACACACTACTCAAAAGAACAACACAAACTTGAACTGTGATCTTACCTTTGAAAAATTTTCTGACTCCTTTGTCAGATATTTGCTCTGTTTTAAGCTCAAACTCACTTGTTGTGATGCAGTGATTGTTCTTCTGCATCTGGATTGAGTGTGTGTGTGTGTGTGTTGAGAGTGTTTAGATGTCGGCGCTGGAACACGAGACAGAAGCTCTGAGGAAGAGCTGAGGATTATTGTGTCTGGATCAGTGTCTCGTCTCAGAACCCCGAGCGAAATCCTCATGAAGCTTCACACACACACACACACACACACACACACACACACACACACACACACACTCACATTCTCTCTCTCACACACACACACACACACACACACACACACACACACACAGACACACACACACTCACATTCTCTCTCACACACACACACACACACACACTCACATTCTCTCTCTCACACACACACACACACACACACACAGACACACACACACACTCACATTCTCTCTCTCACACACATTCTCTCTCACACACACATTCTCTCTCACACACACACACTCACTCATACACACACACTCACTCTCACACACACACACACACATTCTCTCACACACACACACACATTTACACACTCTCACTCTCACACACACACACACACACACACATTTACACACTCTCACTCTCACACACACACACATTTACACACTCTCACACACACATTTACACACTCTCACTCTCACACACACACACTTACTAACTCACACACAAACACACACACACATTCTCTCTCTCACACACACACACACACAGGACACTAGCTGTAATCTGTGTGTAATACAGTAATGATGATCTTCAGTGATTCGGGAATGTTGGGATATCTGGAGACAGAGGCTCTGAGGAAGAGTGTGTCCGAGACTCAAGCGGATCAAATCCAGCAGGACTGCAGCTCGCGGACAGGAAGTGGAGGCTCAGAAACAGGAAGTTGCAGGAATATCTGCGATGTACGAGTGGAAGCGTGTCGTTCTCAGTCCAGCTCTGACACACACACGCGTTCAAACCCCAAACACTACAAGTGAGTGTAGTCACTCACAAACACACACACACACTTGAACTCTCTCACACACACATTCATTCACTCACACACACACACACACACACACACACACACTAAAACACTCTCACACACATTCATTCACTCTCTCACACACACAAACACTAAAACACTCTCACACACATATACTCTAACACACACACTAAAACACTCACACACACTTAACCACTCTCTCTCTCACACTCTCACACACACACACTAAAACACACTTAAACACTCACACACATTCAATCACACACACACACACACTTAAACACTCTCACACACACACACTTAAACACTCTCACACACATTCAATCACACACACACACACACACACTAAAACACTCACACACATTCATTCACATATACTCTAACACACACACACACTCGTCACT